ATCATTTATATATTTTAAATGTAATATAAGATTTTTGTAGGTTCAAAATCGAGCTCAAAATCGAGCTTCAATCAAGCTCGAGTCTCGAGTTTCAATCGAGCTCCTGAATTTTTTTTTGAATTCGAGCCTTTTCGAGTTCGAGTCGAGTTTCAATATTTTCTTTCGAGTTCGAGTCGAGTTTCAATCTTTACTTTCGAGTTTGAGTCGAGGTTCAATATTTTCTTTCGAGTTCGAGTCGAGCTTGAAAATTTTAGGCTCGCGAGTTTTCGAGTCGAGTCGAGCCTATGTATAAAGTTTTCGAGTTCGAGTCGAGCTTAGCAATAATCGAGTTCGACTCGGCTCGTTTACACCCCTAGTTAGTATCTCTCCTAACATAAAATCTTATATATTTTTTTTCTTATCCTTGCATCCTACTCCTTTGAACATACTATTTTCTTCTATTATATGAGACATTTGGAAAAAAACGTAAAGAAGCCATCTTCGAGGCCTTTAAGTTGGCCACCACAACTTATTTCATCGAAGCTTAAAATGGACAACTGTTTCTGCTACAACACGATCAGTTTCCAGACCTCCGACTGACTGCACGGTAATCCGCACGCTCTGGTACGTACAATTGATAGCATTTGCCGAATAGTATTAGATAATACATTTTCGTCTAATTAACAATCAATTTTATTACGATGCCTTGGGATGACTCCCTAGGTATTTTCCAATGCTGATATATACAATTTTGGCTCACCTTACCGTCGCGTATGGCACTGATACACTGACATTCCTCATTAAAAAAACACAACAAGTTGCATAATGGATTCATTGGGTCTTGACTTGGACTTGGCTTAAATGGGCTCTATTCTACCTTCGACCTCCTCACCTATTTTGAGCCATTGAGCATGTTTAAACTTCCATAATATACTGACCCCATTGAACCCCTAATTAAAACCAGCTCTAATCAGAATTTAAACTCCTTCAAGATCAAATTCGATTTTAAAACCTTTTCTTTTCTTAAGAAAACCTAATTCATCCAAAGGTGAAGAGAAACAGTTCGCCGCCGAAGAGATTTCTTCCATGGTGTTGGTCAAGATGAAGGAGGTTGCCGAGGCTTACTTGGGGCAAACCATAAATAACGCTGTCATCACCGTGCCGGCTTATTTCAACGACTCGCAAAGGCAAGCCACGAAGGATGCCGGAGCCATTTCGGGGCTTAATGTCATGAGGATTATCAATGAACCGACGGCTGCTGCTATAGCCTATGGTCTCGATAAGAAGGCGTCGAGTTCCGGCGAGAAAAACGTGTTGATATTCGATCTGGGTGGTGGTACTTTCGATGTTTCGTTGTTGACGATAGAAGAAGGGATCTTTGAAGTGAAGGCCACTGCCGGAGATACTCATCTGGGAGGTGAAGACTTCGACAACAGGCTTGTTAATCATTTCGTTCAAGAATTCAAGAGGAAACATAAGAAGGATATTAGCAGCAACCCAAGGGCTTTGAGGAGGCTGAGGACTGCATGAGAGAGGGCGAAGAGGACACTTTCATCCACTGCTCAAACCACTATTGAAATCGATTCACTCTATGAAGGCATCGATTTCTATTCCACTATTACGAGAGCAAGGTTCGAGGAGTTGAACATGGATTTGTTCAGGAAATGTATGGAACCAGTCGAGAAATGTCTTAGGGACTCGAAGCTAGACAAGAGTCAAGTCCATGAGGTTGTTCTTGTTGGTGGATCCACAAGAATTCCCAAAGTTCAGCAACTTCTGCAGGATTTATTCAACGGGAAGGAGCTTTGCAAGAGCATAAACCCCGATGAGGCCATCGCTTACGGCGCCGCTGTCCAGACAGCTATTCTGAGCGGCGAAGGGAATGAAAAGGTCCAAGATTTGCTGCTTCTCGATGTCACCCCTCTCAGCCTTGGGCTTGAAACCGCTGGTGGTGTAATGACAGTGTTGATTCCGAGGAAGACGACTTCCCACCAAGAAAGAGCAGATTTTCTCGACTTATTCCGATAATCAACCTGGGGTTTTAATTCAAGTCTACGAAGGTGAAAGGGCTCGAACCAAAGACAACAATTTACTCGGCAAATTTGAGCTAACGAGGATCCCACCGGCACCGAGAGGGGTGCCTCAAATCAATGTCTGTTTCGACATCGATGCGAATGACATCTTGAACGTATCTGCTGAGGATAAGACTGCTGGAGTGAAGAACAAGATAACAATTACAAACGATACGGGAAGGTTGAGCAAAGAAGAGATTGAAAGAATGGTGCAGGAGGCAGAGAGGTATAAGGCAGAGGATGAGGAAGTGAAGAAGAAGGTGGAGGCGAAGAATGGGCTCGAGAATTACGCTTACAACATGAGGAACACCGTGAAAGATGACAAGTTTGCTGGGAAACTTGACCCCGCTGACAAGCAGAAGATTGAGAAGGCCATTGATGAGACGATTGAATGGCTTGATGCCAACCAACTGGCTGAAGTGGATGAATTTGAGGACAAGTTGAAGGAATTGGAAGGGATCTGTAATCCAATTATTGCTAAGATGTATCAAGGTGGTGAGGGCGGAGATGTGCCAGTGGGTGGTGGTGCTAAGATGCCTAGTGGTGGTGGTGGCAGCGGTGAAAGTGGTGCCGGACCCAAGATTGAGGAAGTGGATTAAATTAAAGTCTCATCAACTGGATTTACATTGCCTTGGACATGAAGTTAGTTGTATCTATTTCCCATATATGTTGTTTATCCCTTGGGTGGGTTTGTATAATGTACTAAGTGAGGCTTTTGAGTAAGATCATAGATGAAAACTTTGTAGGTGTAAAACATGATCGATCATGCAATAAAAACTTGAATACTTCTAATCTTTCTTGCAAAAATTGATTGGAATATTAAGATGACGGAAATGATAGCTACTGAAGAATTCAGTTCAATATATATTGAACTTATATGCTTCAAGTTCGAGTAGGATATAATTCCCAGAGCGCCACTGTGTGTCTTCTGATGCAGAGGCCATCAGCTTGCAGTTGGTCGAATACGACACACAGTTACACTGCATGAATAATTAATGCAAGTGAACAAAAAATACAAGGGATATGCGTATAGAGTTATAGCTCAAGTACATCGAATGAGGAGTTGCAGACGTACCATTGCATGGTGGTATCCTTAGCGATAATTATATATTCCAACTCTACCAACATGAAAGAAATAAACAGGTAAGTCAATAGCAAGTACTACCAAAAAAATGAACAAATAACAACAACAGCAGAACCCTATCCTCATATGGGTCCCAGCCAGCAGTTGCAGCAATTTTACAATCAGGACGAATTGAGGTGCTGGATATACCTGGCCTTTCTAAACTAATTTCTTTCTTAATAACAACACAAGAACCCTACATTATAAGAAAGCATAAGAGAAAATAGTATGGATTCATGCTTATGCTCTGTGAAGCCAGAACAATAGTAGTTAAACAAAGGACTCTACCAGCCCTTTATCGAGTCGAATAATTCAAATGAATCCACTTCCCATTTACCCCATTATGATGGAGGCTAAATTTATTGTGAAAGAACATGCATGGGTCACCATAACTAACTAGCACAGCACTATGGTTCATCCTATGTCACTCTTCAACAATAGTGAATAAACAGATACTAAAAAGAATTCAAAAGGGCCTGTGATGTATGTTGCTAGCAACCCGCTTAGAAATAACCAGTTCATGATGGGCGGTTAAAACAAGGTGGAATGAACTTAAAATTCAATGAGAGTTACCGTGGGAAAATCTAAATTGTAGAATACAATCTTGTCATCTGCTGCCCCTGAGATACCTCCATTGCATGATCCATCAATGCATAAACTTAGAACTGTGTAGAGAACAAGAATAAAACATACTTTATGAAGAAAAAGAAAGATAAAGCCTAGTACAAGTTGAGTAGCTGTATTCTGGGTGGCACACCTGGCTACGAGTGGAACTTCATAGAAGTTACAGGAATCCCTGGCTGACGTATATCACACCAAAGAATGGAACCATCCTCATAACTAGAAAATACCTCAAACATATCCATAAGTGACTACATCTTAAGATAGCTATTCCAAAAGTCACTATAAGCCTAACAATAATATATCCAGCAAACCATCATCTTTATTCAGCAAATACCAAAAGTTATCCCAAGGAAACTAGCTAAAATTTTAGTATATTAGACGATTCAGATGTTTTTCGTTAATCACCCTTAGCGTTTAAATTAAACCTCAAGAGACATTTAATTTTATACAAAAAAATACATAAATTTGGCATTTCTATGAACAAAAGAAATTAGCTTTGATAAAATCTTACCAAACGCGGAGAGTAAAGCTTTTGCAAGTCAAGATTTCGCAGTTAAGCAGTTGGATGGAGAAGAATTCTTATGCTCAGAGAGACTGCATAGAATCTGATTATTCTCCCAAACACAACGATGAATACGTGAGATGGTTGCAATAAGATTATATGCAATATATAGAGTCGAAAAGGAGAGAAAATACAAGGAATCACTTACCAGAGGTAAGATGGGATACTGGGATGACGTCCCTTCACGAAACCTTAATAGGAGAATGCTTCAAACCTTCGTTGCAGGAGCAAATTTCAAGTCAGTTTAGGTAGATAAAATTTTCCATTAAAAAATATTCCGTCTTTCTGTTCCCTAAAGTCTCTATATCTGTTAACTTTCTCTTCCCTTCTTTCTTAGCCACAATTCATCGAACACTTGGTGAGCATCAGAAAACAGTAACATCACTCGTTAACCTTCCGTGACGAGGCGAAAGCTTGATCATGGAGAGGAGAGGAGAGGAGAGGAGAGGAGAAAGCTTTTATTGTTTTGGTCCTTTTACTGAACTTGCAACTGGGCTGTGTAATCCCGGTTTCTTTTACCTGTTGTGGTTTATTTCAACGGTTGAGCTTGTAGAACTTTTCATCTAACAGTTGATTTTCATTTGCCCTCATGGGAACCCACATTAAGGGCTCCTTTAGAATTTTACAAGTTGAGCCCAATAGAAGAGCCTAGTTATTTTAGGAAAGCCCAATTTTCAGTTATTTGAGGTTGTCCTTGTTTCGCTACTTCTTCCAGGAACAGACCCTTCAATTATAGCTCTCTCCAAATAGAGTTTGGAAAATAGAAGTCAGAAATTGTTAACATTCTCAGATTCGATTCATTACTCTCATCGAGAAAGAAAAATGGCTTCAACATTTAGCGGCGATGAAACTGCTCCTTTCTTCGGTTTCCTGGGTGCCGCTGCTGCCCTCGTTTTCTCCTGTAAGCAATTTAGATAATCGGTCTTCCTTAAAAATATGATTTTTTCTTCTCTCTTTTATCTCTGAGGATCTGTGGGGTTTGGATTTTGATTGGATGTGGCAGGTATGGGAGCCGCTTATGGGACCGCGAAAAGTGGGGTTGGTGTGGCGTCGATGGGTGTGATGAGACCAGAGCTGGTGATGAAGTCGATCGTCCCCGTGGTTATGGCTGGTGTGCTCGGTATTTATGGTTTGATTATTGCTGTAATCATTAGTACCGGAATTAACCCAAAGGCTAAATCTTATTACCTTTTCGATGGATATGCCCATCTCTCTTCTGGTCTCGCTTGTGGACTTGCTGGTCTTTCCGCTGGTATGGCTATCGGGATCGTTGGTGATGCTGGCGTTAGGTAATGCTTTTTATCTCTGTTTAACCATTTCAGCTTATGTTTACTTGCTTTATTCTTCATGATCATGTCAGTTTTGCTGCATTTTCTCTATAGAAAGTTGGTAATATGTATGGGGTTTTTATGTTAATCCTGAAAAGTAAGCCCTTTTTCCTTGATTGTTTAGATCCAGCTTAGGAGAATTTTAAGTAGGATCTGATTTAGGACATGAACAGAGTTGAGATGATGTAGGCGTTATTATGATTGTTGGTAATGAAAGAATAATGTAATTTAAGCATTATTCCTGTTATATATCCCCTTAAACTAGTACTATATGTTAGTTTTCTTTTTGTAGAGCTAATACCCAAAATTGAGATGCTGTTAGGGTGAATTATGATTGGTTGGGAAGGAAAGATGAACATAATTTGAGCACTATTATTGTTATATGTCCCCTTAAACCAGTGCTATATGTTATTTTTCATTTTGTCTAAGTTGGTATTCATTAGTGCCGTTGATGATTTGTTGCTTTATTTTTGCAAGTACAATTACTTTTAAATTCTTGTCTTATTGTGTATTGGATTTTGTTGAGCTAATGCCCACATTGAGATGCTGTTAGGGTGAATTTTGATTGGTCAGGAAGGAAAGATGAATGTGATTTAAGCATTGTTATTGGTGTATATCCCCTCAAACCACTGCTACATGTCTATGTCGGTATTCATTAATACTGTTGTTGATGATTCGTTGCTTTATATTTGCAAGTAGTGTCACTTTTAAATTCTTGTCATATCATGTAGTGGATTTTGTAGAGCTAATGCCCAAATTGAGATGCTGTTAGGGTGAATTATGATTGGTTGGGAAGGAAAGATGAATGTAATTTAAGCATTTTTATTGTTTTCTATCCCATAAATTAGTTCTATATCGTGGTATTGAATTATTATTGCCTTAGGCCTTGAACTAAATTGAGATGCTGTAACGGTTCTTATGATTGTTGGAAAAGAAAGGTTAATGTAATTTAATTTTTTTTATTATAATCCTCTTAAACTAGTGATATATGTTATTTTTCATTTTGTGCTAGATGATATTTATTAGTACTGTTCTTGATGATATGATGCTAATATTTTTGCAAGTAGTATCACTTTGCAACTTGTCTTATCATGTAATTGGATCTTGTAGAGCTGATGCACAATTGAAATGCCGTTAGGGTATTGGTTGAGAAGGAAAGATGAATGCAGTTTAAGAATTTTTATTGTTTCTATCCCTTAAACTAGTACTATATCACTGTCATGTTTGTGCGCTCGTATTCAAGCTGTTTAAGTCGATATTCGTTATTACTTGTGTTGATGACTTTTGTTTCATTTTTGCAAGTAGTATTACTCTGAACCCCTTTTTGCACTATTGGATTTTGTATAGCTAATGTAGAAATTTAGATTCTGTTAGGGTACTCACGAATTATGATTGGGGAGGAGAGACGAATATAGCTTAAGAATTATTATTATTTTTGCAATTGATATTTCTTTGAAACTCGTCTTATCGTTTAATTGGAATTTGCAGAGCTAATGCACAACAGCCAAAGCTTTTTGTTGGGATGATCCTCATTCTTATCTTTGCTGAGGCATTGGCACTATATGGCTTGATTGTCGGTATTATTCTCTCTTCTAGAGCTGGTCAGTCCCGAGCCGAGTGATGGAAGGCCTAATGACGACTCGGCGGCTTTTGTGGTTGGCTTTGCTTCCTGAATAGTTCAATTCTTTTGCTGGTCAGAAGTATATGAGTTTCCCTGGTAAAGTATTTTCTACATAAAATTTCTTGGCTGCCATGCTAGCCTTTGAGCTTTTCTACAGAGTGAGAAATTCGAAGGGGCTGATGATAGTAGATTAGATATATATTAGTTGTTTCAATAAAATTTGTAAAACTTCGTTTCATTTATAAAGTCGTGTACTTGTAGACTTGCTGCTTTCATTAGTTCTTTTGCTTGTTTAATTTTTTCATTGTTTCGAAATGCCGAGTTTGGTGCGACTATTTTGAGCCCCTGCTATCTGAACTCTATATGATGGCTTGCATTAGGGGTTTACATTTTCAACAGATATTATTCATATGAAATTTAAAATATCAAAATATTTAGGTTACTAGAATCTCTAGTAATTTGAATCTGATCCTAAAAAAAATCAGATACTTGATTTTTTGGATTTGATATTTGAATATCTGATTTTAATACATAAACTTTCAATTTTTGCAAAACTTAAAGGATATTAAGGTGCAAAACTTAACGGGGTATTAAAATGAAACAAAAACTAAAGTTTGAGTACTAAAATGAAATAAAAGCTAAACTTTACGTATAGTTTTAAAAATTTAAAAGTTTAGGTATTAAAATAAATCAAAATTGATAGCGGATTAGTGTCTTAGTGATTACTCAAACTCTAAAAGTTAAATTTTTATGACTTTTGAATAATCTAAAATTAGAATTTAGGTGATTAGTATTTGATTTGATTATTATTTATTTTAATATCTAAAATTTAGATCGAATCAATATATTAGATTGGTCGGATCAGATTTTTTTTTACACAGCTTGTATTGCATGTGAAAACAAAATCTTATTTGATTGCCGTGCTTTAAGCTTATCAATACACAAAAAAAAAATTAAATGGCATGAGATAACTGTTTCTGCAATCTTTTTTCTGTTTCTGGGAAAAAAATATAGGGTCTAAGCAACAAGGTATTGAATATGAAATTCAACATCACTGTGTTACCTAAAATAATCTGTGCATAGAGATTAGATCTCAAATTGAACAACTATAATTGCAAGTTACCTAGATGGAAATAAAATGGAGTAGTGTTGGGTTTTAGCATTATGAATGCATATTTCAGTAGGCTTAGCTGTCACAGCAAGCTTCAAATATTTGTCTTCTTTGGGACCCTTTTAAAACAGGTTTGGTTACGCTGCTTGATTAATCAAGGTGTTGTTTATCTGAGTCAAGATTCTGTGTAGAACCTGAGGAATCCTGACGTTCTCTAGAGACTAGAATGCAAATTACTCGTCTCTGTCGTGATGCTTGACGAATCAATGCAACGAAAAAAACGAAAAACGCGATGATCAGACTGCCTCAAAGTTCAATCTGGTGTGAGGAATCATGGAAGCTGTATCATTGTATAGAATGCTATTCAATGTGAAACTTAGCACTTAAAAACACTTGCATAAAACCTTGAGCACAATTGAAACAAGACTACATTCTCAAAATTTCGAGCTGACTTATGGATGAGCCTGGACAGTACTGATTCACTTTATTTTTCTCTGGGTTGAGTTGAGCACATATTATTTTGTTTTGATTGAGTTGAACTTGAAAGTGCCAGCCAACTACTCTTATATGCAAGCAAATGGAGGCCCATGATGTGAATTTATCAGGATTCTTCATTGTAAAAGAAAAAAAACTAGGGCAGCATAAGCATTACATGCCATAGGCACTTAAATTTTTTCATGAAAGCTTTTTAATTTATAGCTCATCTGCAGGTAGGTAGGAGATTTTGTGTTCCTTGAATACCCAGATGGGTTCCACTCGGCATTGTTGTATTTATGCTTGTAGGATATTTCTCTCTCACCTCACCCTCCTCATCATCATGCTCCATGTTAGACATAGCTGAGCGGTTCAAATGATTGTAACCGAAGTAGTTAGTAGTTGAGGTTGATAATATTATTAGATTGTTATACGATTCTGTTAGATTAGTTAACTGCAGTTATTGTAGTTCTGCTAGCTGTATAAAAACAGCATACAGAAATGTAACTCAAGTATTCTAACATAACTACAATAACTGCAGCAAACTAATCTAACAGAATCCTATAACAGTTTAACAATATTACCAACCTCAATTACTAACTCCTTCAGTTACAATCATTTGAACCGCTCAGCTATGTCTAACACTCCATAATCATTGACGGTTTCATTGTTAGAGAAGATTCTTTGGGTAAATAAAACCATTCTTTGCCTCCTAAGTTTTATCATATTGAATCTAGCTAGTTACCGGTTAAGGTTAAAAAAGAAGTTACATGACATCACTGTAGTCCTCTTTTGACAGTGACGAATCAACAAAAAGTACAAGTAAAAAAATAAATAAGGTGATGGCAGAAAAAGTTACATGCTGCAACAGCCTGTTCTGCTTTGCACATGCTACTCAATAGCTATGCCATCCTTGCATTATTGAGCTATTGGTTGAGACAGGAAAGGGCCCCGTATTTTTACCATTTACTACCCCTAGCAAATTTACCCCCTCTCTAGTTAAATTTTAATCCTTTTGGTTGGAAATGGACTTTATAGGGAAGGGGAAAACTGTTGTGTTTTGATGTCATGACCCGATTGAATGTTGTGGGGCTTCTGAACTCGCAACCCATAAATACACACCGTGGCTCTGACCCTCTGTAACTGTCCCATCCATTATTTTCATCTCTACTGTTTTCCTTTTTTAAATTTTAGGCTGATCCGGTGGGACCCAAAACCCGAATGCATCATCATTTATTTATATTTTTCATGACACCCATCGCCGTACAGAGGTGTGGTGTTTTTTTTTCTTAAAAAAGCATTAGAGGCCTTGAATTTTAAAAAAAATTAATCTAGTCTTTATTTTTTTTATTAATGTAACCTTTCAACTCGAAAAAAAAATTAATGTAATATTTTGACTAATATTTTTTATCGTTGACAAACGTCTACGTTACTTTATGCTGACATGATACATCAAACATCTCAAAGTTATATTTTTAGCGATCAATTTGGTCATTTAACTCACAAAATAACTCAATGTGACCTTTTAACTAAGTTTAATGTTGTTATAAATGAGAAAATTACAATATTCATCACTCAATTATCTTCTTTCTCCCATTTTAATCAATTATAGTGTTGAAGACAATAGGTGTATTAGGCTATTAGCTTTGTATTCAATCGTAAAATAATTTTATATTTAAAATTTTATATTTAAATACTTGAGAATTCACATATCTAAATAATTTCTCACAAGCTTTTAACATTACTCATATTTGTATTCATATAGTTACATGTTTGTATGACTTTTTTATATTTTTATAATCTTAACCCTCGAATTTGTTTTATTGTAGTTCAACATTTGTTTGTGTTACTACCACTTGAGTAGAAGAAACATTTTATAATACCTAAACTGAAAAATAATATTCAAAAAGTAATAAATTGAATAATTATTTTAAAATAGGATGTATTTGGAACGGCCTACCTTACTTGCTCAAATGCTTGTTTGGAAAACGTCAAATTCCGACGATCTCAAGGGTTCTGACGCCAACTTCGCCTCTTCCCAATGATTCTCCCAACGGCTACTTCTCCCCATCCCTCGATTCTTGCCACGTGGCTTTTCCAGTTTAGGCGTCATACCTTTGGCGGGATTTTATCCACCGGGACAGTAGCACTTTACCCTTTTAAAAAAACGCACAAAATTAGGGGGCGAAAAGAATGACTTCTTTTGTTGAAGTAATTCTATTACAAAATCAAATTAAGCCTAAAATATATCAATCTGGGGAAGGTAGAGAGGTTGGATCAGGTGAAGATGGAATCTCTGGTCCAACTCTGCATCCTTCCAACATGAAAACGATGTCCGCCATGGCTGGCCTATCAAGTGGCTCGGATGCTATGCAAAGGAGTCCCACTTTGACCCCTAACAAGAACTCTTCCCACTCTGATGATTCAGGGTCTAACTCAAGCAGCCCCGACTCCAGCAACTCCGAGATCTGCCCTTTCTCCAATTGCTTCTTCACCCATTTCACAATGTCCTCGTTTTGGTTAAACATAACCGGTTTTCTTCCGGCAAGGATTTCCAACAGTACGATCCCGAAGCTGTACACATCGGCTTCTTTGGTCGGTTCACCTGTTATAACAGCTTCTGGTGCTACGTAACCTAGACTGCCAACCGGGGTTGAAGACGACGAAGCTTCTGCTGGGGTTGCTATTATGAGTTTCTCGAGTCCGAATTCGGATAAATGAGCTTCGAAATCGGCATCGAAGAGGACGTTTTGTGGTTTGACATCACCGTGAACGATCGATAAAGAGTGTAAAAATGCTAGGCCACGAGCAATGCCAAGGGCAATCAGATGAAGCATTGGCCAGTTGAGCATATGTCCCTCTTGTTGAGATGCTTCTTGGAGGAGGGTAGCTAGGTTCCCATTAGGAATGTAGTCATAAACAAGGAGTCTTAGATCGGGAGGGCCCACATAGTATCCCCTTAGGACTGTTATGTTTCGATGCCTTACCTTCCCAAGCAATTCGGCTTCTTTTCTAAAGGTAGCTTCATCAATCGACCCATCGACGAGTCGACGGATAGATAGAACCATTCCATCTTGAAACGTTGCCTTGAAAACAAGTCCATTTCTTCCCCGACTCGGGACATTTTCCTCATCAAATTGCCTCGTCGCTTCGAGCGTCTCCGATAGAGTTATCTTGTTATTGAACATAACTAGTTTCGGACCTCCATTTTCACCACTTCCATGGCTCCGGCCAGCTCCTGAACATGCATGAGCCGGACTCCTCTTCTTCTCCCCAGTTGCCCATCCTCTCAGCTTCTGCCACCACCGTATAAGGCTGTAAATATATCCACAACAAAACAATGCAAAAATGCAAGCCCCGCCAACAACCATAGCAATCAATAGAATCAGTTTTCTCTTGTTTCTATTTCTTTCATTTGCACATTCTCTTAATGGCATACCACATAGTTCTGCATTATTTGAAAACAGAGAAGCATCATTGAACCGAGAACCGATTGCTTTCGGAATCTCACCCCTGAGATTGTTTCTCGACAAATTAAAGTACTTCAAACTACACATGCTTGAAAAACTTAATGGAATATATCCACTCAATCTGTTCGAAGAAAGATTCAAACTTGTTAAGTTGGACAAATTTGACAATGAACCTGGTATGGTACCTGAGAACTGATTTCCATCTAACAACAAAGTAGTCATGGAGGAGCACTTGGAAATTTGCTCTGGGATTTCACCATCTAACTTATTGGAACTCAAATCAAGCTCTTTTAAATGAGACAACCGAGAGAAATCACCTGGCGCGTTGCCCTTCAATCGATTCGAACGAAGCTGAAGCACTTCAAGATCAGAACAATTACCAAGCTCCACCGGTATCGTACCCAAAACTCGATTGTGGGACAAGGAAAGCACAACTAATGAGTGCAAGAAACCATAGGTGCTTGGAATCCGACCAGTGAATTCATTGGAGCTAAGATTCAAGGATTTTAAACCAACCAAGCTGCTAAAACCTTCAGGAACATCACCAGATATCCTGTTTTCTTCTAAAGCAATGACCTGCAAACTTGGCAACCCAAAAAGTTCAATAGGCAACTCCCCGGAAAGCTGCTGCTTACTCAAATCAAGAGATTTTAATTTCATCAAACTCCCTATAGTTCCAGGAATCTTCCCTGAAAATCCGCAAGCACTTAAATTTAAAACCACTAAACTAGATAAATCTGACAACCATTTAGGAATTCCCCCAGAAAATTTGTTGTGACTGAGGTTTAAAGTTGTTAAATTGCCCAACTGAATTATATCTCCCGGCACAGTCTCGGTCAAGTTATTTCCACTCAAGTTCAGCATTTCAAGTCCTGAAATGTTCCCAAACCCAAACGGAATTGAACCGGAAAATAGATTTCTTCCCAAAGATATGCTTTTCAAGCTCCTCAGTTGACTTAAAAAGGCCGGTAATTTACCAGAAAACTGGTTTCCTTCAAAATCAACCACCTTTAACGAACTGCATTGAACGAGTTGATTAGGGACCGAACCGTTTAGAGAGTTGTTGGCCACTCTAAGTTCTTGCAAGTTGAAAAGGTTTCCGATTTCGACCGGTAGTAAGCCAGTAAAGAAGTTTCCAGAAAAATCCAAAATTCTCAACGTGGTCAAACTGGTCAACCAAGATGGAAACTCGCCATGGATGTGATTCTCGTTAAAGTCCAAAACCTCCATAACCGAATCACAACTTCCATTATTTCGCGGCTTAACAAGTTTCGTGAACTCATTGAATCCCAGCTGAACAATCCTCAACGACGCCGTTCTGCTCCCCGGTGATGTACAGAAAATGGTTTCAGGAACCGGGCCGGAGAGTCCGTTACGCGATAATGCAAGCACTTCAAGATTCGGAACCGCGACGATACTTCCCGGAAGTAATCCTTTAAGCTGGTTGTCTTCAGCGCTAAAATGCACCAAAGAAGAACAGTTTGCAATAACCGAAGGCAACGTGCCGTACAACTGGTTCGAGTCGAGCCAGAGGTACTCCAGTTGTTGGAAATTTCCGATGCCCGCCGGAACTTCACCGGAAAACCGGTTGTATGAGAAGTTGATGAGTTGTAGTTGAGACTGGACCGAGAAATTCGACGGTATTTCCCCCGAGAAATCGTTCGAGGATAAGTCCAGGTACCGAAGGGACGGCGCAATTACGGCGGTGATTCTACCGGAGAGATAGTTATGAGCTATATTCAGGACTTGTAAGTTGGTGAGGTTGAAAATGGAAGGCGGCAGTTTCCCGGAGAAGGAATTGTACTGGAAGTAAACCGCGCGTAAGAGAGCGCACTGAGAGAGAGAGTCAGGGATGGAGCCGATAAAGTTGTTAGAATGGAGGCTTAACTTGCGTAGCTCACGTAGGTTGTTTAACTGATCAGTGAGTTGGCCACCGAGTTGAAGACGAGGCAAGAGGAGCTCGCGGACACGGTGGTTGTAACAGACAATGCCACGCCAGTCGCAGGGAGCTGACGGTGTCGAGTCGTCCCAGCCATCGAGAGAGCCAAGTGGGTCGCTGAAAACGCTCCGTTTGAATGACGTCAGCGCTCGGATCTCAGATAAAGTGAGGGTGCTGTGAGTTTGGGCGTAAGAAGAAGAGAAAAGGAGGTTGAAGGTGAAGAGCGTTAGGAAAGAAAGAAGGACAGCCGTTACTTCCATAGGAGGAATGGGAAAGTGGAGAGCTTTAGAAATGGTGGAGGAAGAGAGGCAGCGTGTGCTGCCACATACTCACACTCAACATTTGAAGCTTGATACAAACGACGACCACAAAGGTTTATTCTTTTACTCAATACTCTACCTTTTCTATTATTTCTATATTCGTTAACGCATGAGGGAAGCATTAATCGAACCATAAACTGATTTCTAGCTTTTAAAACACTTATGACATGTTGCTGCATGAGTCTATATAATAGTCTAAAATGTAGCTGTTGGTTGGAGTAGAATATATCTGTCCAATTCCAAACCCACGCTCCCTCGTCCCCACAATCAACAACAATACAAAAATAAAGGAAGGAAACATTTGGTCATTGGAAGTTTAAAAGGTTCGAGGTATCAGTATTTAACCAAAGAGATGACTAATTTGTTCATTGGCTTTTATTTGTTTCATCAAAGATTTGAGGGTTTCTTTGTGTTCAAGTTGGTTTCCTTTTTGCCCTTGTTTTCTGGTTTTTGGACCTTAAAATCTGCAAATTCAATTTTGCTTTGCAGAAAACAAGAAGCCGATGCCAATCATTTTTCTTTTAAGATGGCAAACGATTAAATGATGCATTCAATGTGCATTATCACAATAACATTCATTCAGTTCTCAAGTATTCATTCAATGTGCGTCATCATTCATCAAACTCCCAACCAGAACAGAAGTTTTTGCATGGAACAATGATGATATTCACATTTCTCTTCATCAATAACATGAGCAGTAGTTTTATACATAAAGAAACTAATTTAGGACTGGTACGCAATGCATAAATATTGTGGGATGGATGGATGAACACGCAGTATTCAATTTTTATAAACCTTTTTGATAGGACCACAGGTAATAGCAGTTTTGAGATATATACATATAGATTCCCAAACTTCATGTAAAAGCTTGAGAAAGGCAAGTCATCTTGTTTACAGGGAGGGACAAAGAAATGATTATCTCCATCAATTTACTTAGTTTCTGTTTATTATTAATTTTGGATGTTATATAATTAAGCATTATATTATTCAAAAGAAAGGGAAAAAATTAAGTACTAGCAATCATTGATGCACAGTGCTTGTGGCTCCATCGCATAAAGGAGTTCCGATGCCGGGACTTGGAGCCGGGTCTTTCGGGTGAGAGCCAAATATTCTAACCAACTGGACTACAACGGATTGTTGAGGATTTTGAATTTAAAATTATATTTGTTCGTTTTGTATGGTTATTGTTTATTATGAGCTTTCCAATAGTCTAATTCCGGGTTTGGTATCTTTACCGTACAAAAATTTCGAATTTAGTCCCTATAATTTCATTTGACATAAATTGATAATCTAATTTAACCATTTCAAATAACGCGGTTAAATATTTCAGTTATAATGTTAAAATAGATTTCAATCTTAAAAATACTTGGTTTAATACACACACACAAAATCTAAGACAGCATGATGAGCTAGAACGATTCTTTTTGTTTAAAGAAAATTTTTTTTGGATTGCGATCATATGCAAGTATTTTAATCGAAAGTCGAAACTGTTAAAATTATTAATTATCTAAATTAATTAACTGATAGATAAAATTAAGCACATGAATCAACTTCCAAATTCAAACATATTAGAGTGACCGAAACCATAGTTGATACTTCAAGTGTAAATTAATGTGTTTCAGCTTAAGATACTAGACAGCCTTTCTGAAAAGGGAGTTGTTATAGCTTAGCGGTGGCAGCCACTCCAAAAGGATGAAATTTCCAATAAAATTTGAAAATAATCCGGGCTTCTTTTGAAAAGAGAAAGTGTGTTTGAGAATTATTTTAAAATATATATTATTTATTATAGTGTAGGTGAAATTTTCATGAAAAAAATAATGAGCTTTACAAAATATATTAAAAAAACATAATTGATCACGTGAATTGAAAAAATATATATATGAAACTTTTTATGTTCTTATGACAAATTTTAATTATTTATTATGTTTTATGAAACTCATCATTTCTTCGTAATGAATTTTATGAATACAATAATAAATAATTTAGATCCCAAAATAATTCTTAAATATATGTATTTTCTAAAATGAGTTTTTTTTTTTTTTTTGTTAAAAGAAATTCTATGTCAGTATCTTAACAGAGATTGTTAAAGCTGTTAAATATCTGAATTAATTAAGTAACAACTATTTATAGATTAAATTATGCTAAATTAAGCACATGAACCAAATTCCAAATTTGAACACAATAGAGTGACTGAAACCACAACTTTGATACTTCTTCAAAGTGTAAATTCAGCGTAACATAGGTAGTAGATAGCTTTTGTGGGAACAGTTGATTGTTGTATACTATTAATATCATTGTTGCATCATGCATGATGAGGGGACTGATGGAGCAGCTGAAACTGGGTTTTATGCGAATATGGTCTACTAAAATTGCCCCATCCACAATGTTATTCAATACGCGTACAACGTGTTGCAGTGGAAGCAACTCTTGAAGAATCAACCTACTATTAGTAGTAATGTTCATCGTGTATTAAGCAAACAAAATCCCTTCATTCCATTGTTATATCTTCAAATACAATAATAAGGAAAATATGTATATATATTGAATCTATTACTAAAATCCTGATCAACTTTACATGCAACTTGCGATTTTATATTAAGAGTTAGAAAGAAATGTGAAGATTTGACCACCTAGATTGTGTTGTGCTCTCTACCTTCTATAGCAAAGGAGGAAGTACGTTCTTCCAACTGGTGGATTTTCGGGCTACGGATCTGGGCAAGATGCTGAGCCCGACTACCTCCTTGGGTGCTTGACCCGGTTCTGCAAACCCTAGCAACTTCGCCACTAGTGCTGCACTCTCTTTCACATGCCCCATGTCCTGCGTCTTTGTCCATATACGATGCGATAGTTGTAAGCTCCTCTGCTTTGTGTTCAACCCGATTCCCCACTTCTTGTACAGTTCCTCTTTCTGTTTTTTCGAGAACATCTTTTGTATTTGCTTGCACAACATTTTCCTCTCACGACCCAAATCCTTCGCACTGCCACCACACAAGAAATTCGCTTCAATTCATTCGGCTCAAATGCTTCCTTGTTTTTAAGTTGCATATTCCCATGGCTCACACTTGTTCAAGGGTTACTTCTAAGCTAGTTTCAAATTTTAATCAATTTTGGATTTAAATTATTTTGAGTTTAGTTTCGAACTATTTTTAGTTCAAGTTCGAGGTTCAAATCATTTTGAATTCTAATTAATTCATGTCATTTCATAGTTAAACCATTTTGGGTTCTTATTTAAGACTCCTCTTTTAGGTTTGGTCACTACAACTTACAAGCTCTATTCATTTAAATTGTATTTATTTTAGGCTCTAATCATTTTAGATAATTTATTTGAACCAGTTTTAGAATCAAGTCAATTTGGGTTTGGATTGGACATGTTAACATTTTATAATTAAATTGGATTGAATCAAAGTTGGGTTAGAATAGATCATTTGTTTCTTGAGAGGAATTAGTCTAGAGCTAAATGTGCATTGTACTGTTCCAACTTACGAAATCTAAAATTCACCTTGAAGCTGCAGTGTCAATTGGGCAATCTTTGAAACCATTGCTTCCCAATGGCATTGAGCTCTTTAGAAAAGACAACCTTCTGAACTCTACCTCCATATAAATGGAATCAGAAGGGTCGCCTTTGAAAAGCATGATGAAATATGTTCTATGGATTAAAGGTACATTGCATGCATCCCAAAGTTCGATTATCTTTCTCTGCAAATTCTCGAATTCAACGGGCCAACTAGAGTGCAGTTTAACGGAATCGTTACTTTCTGCGGAATTCTCGGTCTTATCATTGGTTTCAGCTGCCTATCATACATATATCATTCAAACGAAAAAACGACAGATGTTAGTACCCAATAATCATCTGTAATGAGCTATAAATATGTAAAATGAATCATACTTGGTCTTCTGGGAACCTAAATCATAAAAAAGATTGATATCGATATAAAAGACGTATTTCATGTGAAAGAATAAGAAAAAATGAAGAAAGGAATGAGGTTCATCACCAATTTCTTATCAATTTCTGCTTCTGGTTGCGTTTTTGTCTCGCTGCCTCCTTCAGAAAGATCAGTGGCACAGGTAAATGAATTTTGAGAACGACTCCTGGACATCTCTCCATTTCTGTTGTCACCTTTCAGTTCAGAAAGCTTACGGGAAAGGGCTATTGCTTTTTGAAGGAAGTCCTTTTCAACTGTTGTGGAAGTGGGTATGCTTTCATTATGTTGTGGGTTCTCAGAGTTAGGTGAAGATGGCACAGTTGTGATAATCGCCCTGCAACTTCTGCTTCTACTCATGGTCGTGCCACCATAGCTAGTTCTATCTAATGCAGAAGGCGAATCCCCTATAGAGACTAGACATTTGATGGTCTTCTGCAGCTCCTGTATTTTTGTTTCAGTGCCTTGATAGTTTCATCTTTATAAACATGATCTGATTTCAAATATTCCTTTTGGGGGGATGATACTACATATTCTTCTTTCATGGGCTTAGTCATGTCTAATTTTCCTTCAATACCCTCAGGAGCACTGAGGGATACCTTCTCTTCCTCTTTCTCAGGAATAGCTGATAAATGATCAGCTTCTATTTCCTTGATAATGGACTCCTTCATGGCTGGTTTCCCTTCCTGTTCCTCGGAACCAATTGATAATTCTCCTTCATTCTTCTCAGAAATCAAAGAGGAAACATCTGCTTTTTCATTCATCTTGATGTTCGAGTCCTCGAATTCAATGCATCGAACTTCCTTGCAGTCATCTTCAAACTCTTCACCCACATTTAGAGCAACCTCATTGAAGCCGTTGCTTGTATCAGGTCCAGCCAATAATGGAGTGATGCCATCGGGATGGTATTCCTCTTCATAGCTCTCTAGAGGAATCAGATATTGGTTGTTGGTCATAGGCACATTTGGTGCAACAGTATACCTGTGCTTTCTGTAATCCACAGTAGAAGGAGCATTGACC